TATCTATCTATCTATCTATCTATCTATCTATCTATCTATCTATCTATCTAGTAGGCACTAGAATGGAACTCAGGTTTTGACATTTGCTTGCAAGCACATTACTAGCTAAACCACCCACCCCACCCCAGAAGATCTTCACAGAGCAGCCACACTCATGACCTAGACTACGTCGGACTTGTGATGTGCCTTTTGCCACTTTAACTCTCAGCAACCGTTCTGGTTTTTCAGAGCAGGTGTTTAAATCATGGAACACTGAAACTATCTGTCTCATCTGAAATGTATAACAACCCCAAGATCTGACATCTTCCACCCTATTACACCGACTCTGAAAACAGAGCTCAGCTAGACCCAAGGGGCTTGGCTTGGCAAGAGATGCCTGGCTAGGACCCAATGCCAGTCTTCACCTTCTAACCAAACTGGCCTGTCTTTTGTCACACACAGCTTGTAGGCTTCCTGAAGGGTTTGACCACACAACCAAAATGGGAAGCCTGGATGTGTCATGATCTACCTGTTGTTGACTGTGCATCAATGAGAAATCAGTTTCTCTCTCTGGGCAATCTTCAGAGAAACACCAAGCACTAGAAATCTGTTCTTCATATTCTCTGTATGTCTGTGTATGGAAAATCCAAACACCTCCAGTATAGAAAATAAGCCCTCGAACCTCAGCGTCATCTTTTATCTGTTACTGCTAGACGTGACGACTGTTAGTTGTCAACGTAGTTATTTTCTCTAGATACTTAGACTTGAAATAAGCATATATGGGCTGGGGAGATGGCTTGGTCTGTAACGTGTTTGCCTTGCAAGCACAAGGACCTGAGGTAAGAACTCATGGGAAAGCCAGGTGGTGGTGGCGCACGCCTTTGATCCCAGCACTTGGGAGGCAGAGGCAGGTGGATTTCTGAGTTTGAGGCCAGCCTGGTCTACAGAGTGAGTTCCAGGACAGCCAGGGCTATACAGAAAAACCCTGTCTCAAAAAACAAACAAACAAACAAACAAACAAACAAACTCATGGGAAAAAGACCAGGTGTGTTTACAAGTGTAATCTCAACACTGGGGAGGCAGAGTTAGGGAGATTGCTGGGGCCCACCGGACAGTCAGCACAGTCCTCTTGGTATGTTTCAGACTGGAAAGAGACACATCTCAAAAGAACAAGCTGGGGAATGACCAAGGAATGACGCCAAGTTTGCAATCTAGTCTAGGGTATTCACACATGTGCATGTGTACCCGTCAATGAATACAATATATACACAAACACCCACAGAAGTGCCTGAAGCTCACCCAGGAGCTAGAAACAGCTGGAATCAAAGACTCTGGGTTAAAATGTTCTGCAGTCCCACAGTGATGGGCTTTGTGGAAAGAGCCTTGACTTTGCATTTTACTTAAAAGTCTAAATTCAAAAATTTGCGTGTCTGTCTGTCTGTCTGTCTGTCTCTCTCTCTCTCTCTCTGTGTGTGTGTATGTGTGTGTGTATGGTGTCAGAGTTATATGCATATGCTACAGTGTATGTTGGGTTAGAGGACAATTTTCAGTAATCAGATCTCTCCTTCTGCCACCTAAGTTCTGAAGAATGGAAATCAGTTTTTGTCAGCTTGGTGGCAAGAAACTTTACTCACCAAGCCATCATATCAGCCCTGAATACCTGAGTTTTAATTATTGCTATGCAATCAAAATACTCCCCATCCCAGACTTTCTCCATGAAGCAGAGAAGACACAATGGGGGGGGGGATGGGTATTCACTATTGGGCTCTGGCCCCCGGAAGGCAGTTCTTAAGATCTCATCCCTTCTGGGGACTCAGGAGACAGAGGATGATACTCTAGAGCTTTTCTGTTTTCATCCAGGAAGGTAACTGGAGATCTGTTGCCCAGCCATGCACAACTAACACACACAGATGCCAATGACTGTGGAGAAGCCTCGTGATCCAAAGGGAGACTTGCTCATCTAGTAGAAAAAAATCTCTGATTCAGCAAGAGCTGGGAGTGAAGGGCTGGATGCTGGAAGACTTTTGATCACTCCTGATGCAGTTATGAAAGTGGTTTTGGCAGAGGCCAAGAGGGTTCTTGGCTCAAACACTTTCAGAAGTCATTCCCTACAGGTTCAGCAGAGGGGCATCCTATCATTTGCAGCCTATGGTGCACTGACGGGGCAAGATAAACTGGAAAAAAGATATTTTTTAAGATGGCTACAATCATCTCTCTACCTGTCTGCTGGCTCCTTCCACACTGACTCAAGGCTCATTCATTTGAACTGAAAATATGTCATCAACATTAGAAAATAACACAGACCTAAGGAAAGAATCTCTGGGGGCGGCTGAAGCAGAAGCTGAGGTGCTCACATCTTAAACAGCAAGCAGGAAGCAGAATGAAGGTTGGGAGTGGCGTGAGGTCTTAAAATCTCAAAGCCCACCCCTCCAGTGACGTACTTCCTTGAACAGAGCCACACCCTGTAAACCTCCTGAACACCGTCAATACGATCCCAAGTGTTCAAATGCCTGAGACTATGGGGACCAAAACCTAGAGTCTCATGTCTTGTACACAAATGACTCAAGCTAATGTGCTGGAGGGACTGCAGGGATGGCTGACTAAACTGCTCTAGACAATGGGCTGTCAATCACCAGACTTAGGAGTGAGGCTATATTAGACTATCCAGGTCAAGTCAGAGCATTAGCTGACCACAGATGTCTATGCAGAAAATTATACGGGCATCCCACAGAGCTATAAGAAAGAATAAAACACAAGTTACTAAGTGCTAAGCCACTGTATAGTCAGAACTATCTACTAAAGATATTTATTAAATGAATGACTGAATAGCCTGTCTCCTAGAACAGCAAAAGACATTTCAGAACCATGGACAGAGGCAGAAGTTCTGTAGCCAGAAACAAGAGCAGGTGAGACAAGTGTATAAAGGACCATGGTTCCCGTGGGGAAGCTGGGGGAGCTTGCTAGGTATCTGTAAGCTCAGGAAGTCCTTAGTCTAAGGCAAGGAGAAGACTGTCCCGGAAGGACAATGTATGAAGACCAGAGCTTGCTGCCAGATCCGATCCTGCTACCCACTCAAGTTGCTTCTCTCATGTGTTAGGAATTACAGCCAGTGCAGCAAGCATATGGGGGCGGGGGCTGGCAACCAAGGACCATTGCTCCTTGCTGTATTTCTCAGGTGGGGACAGCTGGAAGCCTGCAGGGAGAGACGGGATTCTAAATTCTTCTTCTTTCTCTTTACCCTTCCCTCCCCTTCCCCACTGCCCTCCCTCCTATCCCTTCCCTCTCCATGTGTAGAAAATCTCAAGCCTGTAATTCCACAGTAACAATAATCTTTTGGTTTCAGACAGTAGGCTTCGGACCTGTCTTACCTGCATATTACAACATTCCATTTTATCTTCACTACTTCCTGTAAGACAACAGAACAAACCTGTTCCCATTAGCATCGGCTTCAGCTGCCTCCCTCTTGTTCTCAAAGCACGAAAACCAGAGCCAGGAGATGGCTCAGTGAGTAAGAACTCTTACAGACACAAGCGGCTGAGTTCCGATCTCCAGCACTCACAACAAAAGCTAGGCATGGTCAGGCTTGCCCGTCATTCCATTGCAGTGGAAGACAGAGAAGAGAGGCTGTCTGGAGCTAGCAGGCTAGCCTAGGCCCAGGTTCAGTAAGAGACTCCGTCTCAAAGGAATACGGAGTGCAGCTAGAGAGATGGCTCTGTAGTTAAGAGTGCTCACCGCTCTTTCAGAGGAGTCCACTCCAGTTCCCAGCGCTTAAAACAGGAGGCTCAGAAAACCACCTCTAACTGCAGCCCCAGGAGAGCCAAAGGCCCTCTTCTGGCCTTCTCAGGCACCTGTACACACCTCCCTCTCCCTCTCCCTCTCCCTCTCCCTCTCCCTCTC